TTGCTGAAAACTTCCCCAATCTGGGGAGAGATAGTCTCTCAGGCCATGGAGGTGCACAGATCTCCCAACACAAGGGACCCAAGGAAGACAACACCAAGACATATAGTAATTAAAATAGCAGAGATCAAGGATAAGGAAAGACTATTAAAAGCAGCCAGAGAGAGAAATAAGATCACATACACAGGAAAGTCCATCAGGCTATCATCAGACTTCTCAGCAGAAACCTTACAGGCCAGAAGGGAGTGGCATGATGTATTTCATGAAATGAAGCAGAAAAGCCTGGAATCAAGAATACTTTATCTGGCAAGATTATCATTAAAATTTGAAGGAAAGATTAAACAATTTTCAGATAAGCAAAAGCTGAGAGAATTTACCTCCCACGAACCATCTCTACAGTGTATTTCGGGGGGACTGCTATAGATGGAAGTGTTCCTAAGGTTTAATAGCTGTCACCAGAAGTAATAAAACCACAGTAAAGAAAGTAGAACAGTTAATTACTAAGTAAATGCAAAATTAAATAAACTATCCCCAAATCAATCAAGGGATAGACAAAGAGCACAGAATATGATACCTAATAAGTAAAGAATGGAGGTGGAAGAAAAGGAGGGAAAAAAAAGAACCTTTAGGTGGTGTTTGTAATAGCATATTGAGTTAAGTTAGATTCTTAAATAGCAAGGAAGTTAACCTTGAACCTTTGGTAACCACAAATCTAAAGTCTGTAATGGCAATAAGTACATACCTATCGATAATCACCCTAAATGTAAATGGACTGAATGCACCAATCAAAAGACATAGAGCCACTGAATGGATAAAAAAACAAGACCCATCTACATGCTGCCTACAAGAGACTCACTTTAAACCCAAAGACATACACAGACTAAAAGAGAAGGGATGGATAAAGATATTTCATGCAACTAACAGAGAGAAAAAAGCAGGAGTTGCAGTACTTGTATCAGACGAAAGTTACAAGAGACAAAGAAGGACATTACATAATGATAAAGGGGTCAATCCAACAAGAAGATATAACCATTATAAATATCTATGCGCCCAACACAGGAGCACCTACATATGTGAAACAAATACTAAAGGGGAAATGAATGCAATGTATTCATTTTAGGAGATTTCAACACTCCACTCACTCTGAAGGACAGATCAACCAGACAGAAAATAAGTAAGGACACAGAGGCACAGAACAGCACATTAGAACAGTTGGTCCTAATGGACATCTACAGAAATATACACCCAAAAGCAGCAGAATACATATTTTTCTCAACTGCACATGGAACATTTTCAAGAACAGATCATATACTAGAGCACAAAAAGAGCCTCGGTCAATTCAAAAAGATTGAAATTGTACTAACCAGTTTCTCAGACCACAAAGGTATGAAACTAGAAATAAATTACACAAAGAAAATGAAAAATCCCACAAACACATGGAGGCTTCACAACATGCTCCTAAATAACCAATGGGTCAATGACAAATAAAAACAGAAATCGAGCAATATATGGAGACAAATGACAACAATGATTCAACACCATAAAATCTGTGTGATGCAGTGAAGGCTGTGTTAAGAGGAAAGTATACTGCAATACAGGCCTAACTCAGGAAAGAAGAACAATCCCATATGAGCAGTCTAAATTCACAATTAACGAAACTAGACAAAGAAGAACAAATGAGGCCCAAAGTCAGTAGATGGAGAGACATAATAAAGATAAGAGCAGAAATAAATAAAATCAAGAAGAATAAAACAATAGAAACAATCAATGAAAGCAAGAGCTGGTTCTTCAAGGAAATAAACAAAATAGATAAACCCCTAGCCAGACTTATCAAGAAAAAAAGAGAGTCTACACACATAAACAGAATCAGAAATGAGAAAGGAAAAATCACGATGGTCACCACAGAAATACAAAGAATTATTAGAGAATACTATGAAAAATTACATGCCAACAAACTGGAAAACCTAGAAGAAATGGACAACTTTCTAGAAAAATATAACCTTCCAAGGCTGACCCAGAAAGAAACAGAAAATCTAAACAGACCAATTAGCAGCAATGAAATTGAATTAGTAATAAAAAAACTACATAAGAACAAAACCCCTGGACCAGATAGCTTCACCGCTGAATTTTATCAAACATTTAATGAAGAACTAATACCCATCCTCCTTAAAGTTTTCCAAAGAGTAGAAGAAGAGGGAATACTTCCAAACTCATTCTGTGAGGGCAGTATCACTCTAATACCAAAACCAGGCAAAGACACCACAAAAAAAGAAAACTACAGACCAATATCCCTAATGAACATAGAGGCAAAAATACTCAACAAAATATTAGCAAACCAAATTCAAAAATACATCAAAAAGATCATCCATCATAATCAAGTTGGATTTATTCCAGGGATGCAAGCATGTTACAGTATTTGAAAATCCATCAACATTATCCACCACATCAAGAAAAATAAGAACAAAAATCACATTATCATCTCCATACATGCTGAAAAAGCATTTGACAAAATTCAACATCCATTCATGATAAAAACCCTCAGCAAAATGGGTATAGAGAACAAGTACCTCAACATAATAAAGGCTATATATGACAAACCCACAACTACATTATACTTAACAGTGAGAAGCTGAAAGCTTTTCCTTTAAGATCGGGAACAAGACAAGGATGCCCACTCTCCCCATTTCTATTCAACACAGCACTGGAAGTCTTAGCCATGGCAGTCAGAAAACACAAAGAAATAAAAGGCATCCCAATTGGCAAGGAAGAAGTTAAACTGTCCCTGTTTGCAGATATCATGATATTGTACATAAAAAAACTAAAGAATCCACTCCAAAACTACTAAATCTAATATCTGAATTCAGCAACGTTGCAGATCACAAAATTAATACACAGAAATTTATACACTAATGATGAACTATCAGAAAGAGAAATCAGGAAAACAATTCCATTCAAAGTTGCATCAAAAAGAATAAAATACCTAGGAATAAACCTAACCAAGGAAGTGAAAGACCTATACTCTGAAAACTACAAGACACTCATGAGAGAAATTAAAGAAGATACCAATAAATGGAAACACATTCCTTGTTCATGGATAGGAAGAATTAATATTGTCAAAATAGCCATCCTGCCTGAAGTAATCTATAGATTTAATACAATTCCTATCAAAATCCAATGTCATTCTTCAATGAACTAGAGCAAATCGTTCTAAGATTCATATGGAACCACAAAAGACCCCGAATAGCCAAAGCAATCCTGTGAAGGGAGAATAAGGCTGGGGGCATTATTCTCCCCAATTTCAAGCTCTATTACAAAGCCACAGTAATCAAGACAATTTGGTACTGGCACAAGAACAGAACCATAGACCAATGGAACAGACTAGAGAGCCTTGATATAAACCCAAACATATATGGTCAATTAATATATGATAAAGGGGCCATGGACATACAATGGGGAAATGACAGCCTCTTCAACAACTGTTGTTGGAAAAACTGGACAGTTTCATGCAAGAGAATGAAATTAGATTACTGTTTAACCCCATACACAAATTAAACTTGAAATGGATCAAAGACCTGAATGTAAGTCATGAAACCATAAAACTCTTAAAAGACAACAAAGGTAAAATCTCCTCAATATAAGCATGAGCAACTTCTTCCTGAATGCATCTCCTCGAGCCGGGGAAACAAAAGCAAAAATGAACACATGGGACTACATCAAACTAAAAAGTTTCTCTATGGCAAAGGACACTATCAACCGAACAAAAATGCATCCTACAGTATGGGAGAATATATTTGTAAATGACATATCTGACAAGGGTTTAACATCCAAAATATATAAAGAACTCACATGCCTCAACACCCAAAAAGCAAATAAACCAATTAAAAAATGGACTGAGAATCTGAACAGACATTTCTCCAAAGAAGAAATTCAGATGGCCAACAGGCACATGAAAAGATGCTCCACATTGCTAATTATCAGAGAAATGCAAATTAAAACCACAATGAGATACCACCTAACACCAGTTAGGCTGGCCAACATTGAAAAGATAGGAACAACAAATGCTGACAAGTATGCAGAGAAAGGGTAATCCTCCTACACTGCTGGTGGGAATGTAAGCTAGTTCAACCACTGTGAAAAGCAATATGGAGGTTCCTCAAAAAACTAAAAAAGAAATACCGTTTGGCCCAGGAATCCCACTCTTTGGAATTTATCCAAAGAATACAACTTCTCAGACTCAAAAAAGACATATGCACTCTTATGTTTATTGCAGTACTACTTACAACAGCCAAGATATGGAAGCAACCTAAGTGTCCATCAGTAGATGAATGGATAAAGAAGAGGTGGTACATATACACAATGCAATACTATTCAGCCATAAGAAACAAACAAATCCTACCATTTGCAACTACATGGATGGAGCTAGGGGACATTATGCTCAGTGAAATAAGCCAGGCAGAGAAAGACAAGTGCCAAATGATTTCCCTCATTTGTGGAGTATGACAACGAAGCAAAACTGAAGGAACAAAATAGCAGCAGACACACAGACTCCAAGAAGAGAGTAGTGGTTACCAAAGGGGAGGGGGTGTGGGAGGGCTGTTGGGGAGGGAGGAGATGGGGATTGAGGGATATTATGTTTAGTACACATGGTGTGGGGGGGTCATGTAGAAAACAGTGTAGCACAGAGAAGGCAAACAGTGAATCTGTGGCATCTTACTACACTGATGGACAATGACTGCATTAGGGTACAGGTGGGGACTTGATAATATGAGTAAATGTAGTAACCACATTGTTTTTTCATGTGAAACCTTCATAAGAGTGTATATCAATAATACCTTAATAAAAAATTTTTTAAATTGCAAACTTCCTCTCAAATGAATGACTGGATGTCCTTACACAATGAATGACTGCGATTCAAACTCATGATATGAACCCTGAAGTAGAACTATATGGTACTTCCAAAACCAGGTTTTGAATAATAGGTGAGTAAAGCAAGTGTCTCCTACTTTGAGGTGCAGTCGCACTCTGGCCAGAAAGAATCTCCAACAATTTTCTCTGGAGTCCACCATGTTCAGTCCACGAACTTCATTACGAATTCCAGAAATTATCTTGTCTGCATCTTCATCACTGAACAGATCTGGGATTTCTCCTGCTCCAAAAGGAATGAATACAATTACTTAAAGACTGTCACAATTTAAATTTTAGGTATGATTTTTTAATGCTTGAAATGCTGCATAATACAAAGTTCAGCTTAAATGATAAAGACTTTGAAACAAGAAATGCCATTTTTCCTTTTTTTTTTCATTTACAAGACACATAACACATTGAAGACAAGCTATGATAAACACACCCACTAAACTCTACATGTAGGAATAACATTTACTTCACTGGAAGCCCTTCCAAGGCACTGCACATCCATAAGTTGAGAAAGCAGTGCACCTTAAATTAGTTAGGTTTATAGGTTTCTCCCCAAAGACTGGCCCAGCAAACATCTCAAAGACAAATTATCTCTCTTTAAAGTTCACTGAAACTACAGATAATTTGTCATCGGGGAAGATCTTTCAAGAAATGTGTTGGTTTATCACCTGACGCCAGCAAGTCATTAATCAGCACAAGAAAGCTCTCATCTAGAACCTGGGCGTCTGTCAGCAGGAACACAGTGGGCATGTTCTTGGCTCCAGTTCTGATGTACAAATTGGCAAGATCTTCCTGCAAGGAAAGGAGGCCATCAGTCATGTTTTGATAAAATGCTGATGCAACATTGGGAGTATATGTGCAAGTGCTGGGAAGAACTGAGTAACTATAATGCGAGAGCTGCATGCTGTACTTTCCCTCTGCTTACAAATTCTTTCCTTTCAGTAACCCTGTGATAGGGGCAAATGGCATGATATCATCTCCATTTCTGGCATATTAATGATGAGCATCATGTTTGTGGCTTAATGGAGCATAGGGATGAAACAGGCTGTTGATGAACAACTCCCTCCTAATAAAGTGAAAATGAATTCAGTAACACCTTTGTCAAATAGCACAATAAAAGGAAGTTTCTGCTCATTTCAATAGTTGTCTATTTTGTTGAAAACAGTTTTTGTTTGGTTATTTATTTAGTTTTGTTTAGGAATACTGAAAGCATGTGATTTGATTTTTTTTATTTAAAATAACACTTGCTACAAACTTTAAGACCTATCTTAAAGGTACTGTTGTGATTAATAAGCAAAATTTTTAAAATATATGAGAGAGAGGTGATCCAAGGTGGCAACACTGGAAGATGTGAACCCACCTCCCGTCATGGACACCCCAAATCCATAGCTACATATGGAATAATTCCTGCTGAAAAAGAACTGAAAACCAGCTGAAAATTCCCTCCACAATAAGAGATAAAAGGACCACATCAAGATGGGTAGAAGAGGCAGAGATGGAGTCTGTTCCTAAAGAGTGAGGGTTTGTGCCTCACATTAGACATTCAAACCCTTGGGACCTACACTGGGAAGTGAGGTAACCAAAATGTCTGGCTTTGGAAATCAATGGGCTTACATTCAGGGACCTGGTAGAATGTGAGATCAGAGATACTTCTTTCTTGCATACAGACTCAGTTGCCCTGGGACCCAAGGCAAAGGCAGCAGTTTGAGAGGGGACTAGATAATGTGTGAAGCAGATTCAGTTGCCAATATAAAAGTATCTGCCAAAACGGCAGGAATCAGTTGGGGCTTTGGCATGGAGGTGCTAGCAAGTGCCATGTTTGCCCTTTCCCTCTACCTTGCTATAGGTGGGCAAGCATTGACACAACCTCAATAAAGCCATGGGCATGCCCAATCCTCAGCACTCTTCCCCTGCCTTGCTAAAGCCATGGATGTGCCCTACAGACAGCTCTCTCCCACAGCTTCACTACAGCTAGTAAGTGAGCACAGTCTAAACAGAGGGTGCCCCCTGATAGCCCAGCCCTGGTGGCCAGAGAGGCTTGCATCTCTGCACTCCATGGGACTATAACAAAGGGAACAGCAGTTCTAGGAAGGCTACTACACCAGGCAGCAGAATGAAATACACTGCCAGTCTACCTGTGAAAAGGTTCAACTATTTCTTCTGGACCTGCAACCTGAGAGACAGATTTGCCATATATCTAGAAGCTACAGAGGCACTCTCAAAGAATGTAGGCAGGGAGACACCATTTTTGAGCCCTATATTGGCTCTCCACAGCTTGCTACTATGTCCCAGAACTCAAACACTCATCTGAAGCCTTGACTTTTAAAACTGTCACCCAGAAGACACCTCCAGATCTCCTGGTCTGGAGGTTGGCAGGGTTTACAATTGCAGTCCCATAGGACTATATGTATTTGCATACTAAAGGTTCTGCCCAAGGATCTGACTTCCAATGGGTGCTGACTGAGATCTCTCCCTTTGGAACACTGGCAAGTCTTAGCACACCCTCAATAACTGGGATCCAACAAGAATAAAGTAGGCTGCTTAGACAATCTCAAAGGTCTAAGAAGAAAAAGTTGGAGAATAAAATTCTCCCTATTCTTTCAAAACTGAGAGAGGTACCTGTTTCATCTAATACATAGAAACAAACATAGAGTCAAAAAAAATGAGGAAACAGAGGAATATGTTCCAATTGAAAGAACAACAAAAACCTCAAAACGACCTTAATGAAATGGAGAAAAATAGTTAAATATAGTGAGAATTTCAACAGAGATAGAATGTATAAGTACCAAACAAGCCACAGAGCTGAAAAATACAATCACTGAACTAAAAAATATGCTAGAGGAGTTCAACGGCTGACTAGAGGGAGAAGAAGAACAGATCAGTGAACTGGAAGACAAGGCAGTAGAACTCACCCAAACAGAGCAGCAAAAAGAAAAAAATAATTTTAAAAAATGAAGACAGCTCAAGGGACCTATGGAATAACATCAAGCAGAATAACACTGGCATTACAGAGATCCCAGAAGGAGAAGAGAGAGAGAGAAAAAGGAGCAGAAAACTTATTGGAAGAAATAATGGCTGCAAAGTTACCTAACATGAATGAGAGAAAGAACATATCTAGGTCCAGGAAGCACAGGGAGTTCCAAATCAGTTGAAAACAAAGAAATTCACAATAAGACACATTATAATAAAATGTCAAAAATTAAAGATAAAGAGAGAATCTTATAAGCAGCAAGAGAAAAACAACTCATTATGTATAAGGGAACCCCCAGAAGACTATCAGCTGATTTTTGGGCAAAAAACTTTGCAGGCTAGAAAGGAGTGGCATGATACATTCAAAGTGCTAGAAAGAAAAGCCTTTCAAACAAGAATACTCTATCCAGCAAGGCTATCATTCAGATTTGAATGAAAGATAAGGAGTTTTCCAGGTAAGCAAAAGCTAAAGGAGTTCATCACCAATTATCTGGCCTAATAAAAAATTAAAGGGGATTATTTAATGTGAAAAGAAAAGGCACTAAATAATAACAAGAAAACATATAAAAATAAGAATCACACTGGTAAAGACAAATGTATAGTAAAGGAGTGGAATAGCCACTTAAAAAGCTAGTATGAAAGCTAAAGACAAAAGTAGTAAAAATTAACTAGATGACAATAATTAGTTAAGGGATATAAAAAAATGTAAAGAATGACATCAAAACATAAAATACAGGGGGAGCAAAAAATGTTGTTTTTTTGTAGGATGCATTCAAATTCAAGTTGCTATTAACTTAAAATAGACTGTAACATATAAACATTGTTTTATGTGAATCTAATGATAACCAAAAAGCAAAAATTTATAGTAGATATACAAAAGATAATGAGAAAGGAATCTAAACACTAAAGAAAGGCATCAAGCTACAAGGGAAGAATACCAAAGGATGAGGGAGGAACAGACTAACTACAAAAACAGCCAGAAGACAATAAAATGGCATTAAGTGAACACTTATAAAAAATTACTTTAACTGTAAATGGACTAAATTCTCCAATCAAAAGACAGAGTGGCTGAATTGATAAAAAAAAAAAAACAGGAGTTATCTATATGTTGCCTAAAAGAGACTCACTTCAGATCTAAGAGCACACACAGATGGAAAGGATGGAAAAAGATATTCCACTCAAATGGAAATGAAAAGACAATTGGTGTAGCTATACTCATATCAGACAAAATAGGCTTTAAAACAAAGACTGTAAGAGAAGATAAAGAAGGGCATTATATAATGATAAAGGGGTCAATCCAAGAAGATGTTATAACATTTGTAAATACTTATGCATCCAACATAGATTACCTAATTAGAGGTAATAGATACTTAACCAACATAGGTTACCTAATTCAATGTTCGAACACTTAAAGATTTAAAGCAAATATTAACAGACATAAAGGGAAAAATTGACAGCAATATAGTAATACTATGGGACTTTGATACTCCATTACATCAATGGATCAATCAATAAGGGAACATTGGCCTTAAACAGTATATTAAATCAGATGAACTTGATATATATAGAACATTCCATCCCTAAGCAACAGAATACACATTCTTCTCAAGTGTACATAGATAATTCTTTGGGCTGAATAACATTTTAGGTCACAAAACTAGTCTCAGTAAATTAAAAAAACTGAAATAATATTACAAACAATGGTATGAAACTAGAAACAATTACAAGAAGAAAACTGGAAAAGCTATAAGATCATTATAAGAGAGAGGTTCATAAGACAGGCCTACCTGAGGAGTCAAGAAAAATTTCAAACAATCTAACTACAGCTAAAGAAACTAGAAAAAGAAGAACAAAGGAAGCCCAAAGTTAGTAGAAATAACAGAGATAAGAATGGAAATAAATGAAATAGAGACTAAAACAGCAATAGAAAAGATCACTGAAACTAAGAGTGGGTTCTTTGTATAAACAAAATGGATAAACATTTAACTAGACTCACCAAAAAGTAAAGAGAGAAGGCTCAAATAAAAACAGAAATAAAAGAATCATAACTGACACAACAGAAATACAAAGGGTCATAAGAGACTCCTATGAGCAATTATTTTATCAACAAATTGGACAATCTAGAAGAAATGGATAAATTCCTAGAACATATAATCCTCCAAAACTGAATCATGAAAAAACAGAAAATCTGAATAGACCAATTACTAGTAAGGAGATTGAATCAGTAATGAAAAACCTCTCCACAAACAAAAGTTGTAACTAGATGGCTTCATTGGTGAATTCTACCAAACATTCAAAGAGTTAAACATCCTTCTCAAACTCTCCCAAGAAAGAGAGGGGGGAATGCTTTCAAGCTCATTTTACAAGGCCAGAATTGCCCTGATACCAAAGCCAAACAAAGATGCCACAAGATAAGAAAATTATAGGTCAATATCCCTGATGATCACAGATGTAAAAATCCTCAACAAAATATTAGAAAAACAAATTTAGCAGTACACAAGGATCACACACCATGACCAAGTGAGATTTATTCCAGAGATGCAAGGATAGTTCAACATCCACAAATCAATTGATGTGATATGCCACATTAACATAATGAAAGATAAAAATCATATGATGAACTCAATAGATGTAGAAAAATCATGTTATAAAATTCAACATCCATTTATGATGAAAACTTTCAACAAAATGGGTATTTAAGGAATTTACCTCAACATGATAAAAGCCATATATGATGTGCCCACAGCTCACATCATACTCAATGGCAAAGAGCTGAAAGTTTTCTTTCTAAGATCAGGAACATGACAAGGATTCCTGCTCTCACTTTTATTCAACATAGTAGTGAGAGTCCTAGTCACTGCAATTAGGCAAGAAAAATAAAAAAAAGGCATGCAAATGAAAAGAAAGAAGTAAAACTGTCACTGTTTGCAGATAACGTGATACTATATACAGAAAATCCCAAATACTCCACCAAAATAGTGTGAGAATATATGAATTCAGTAAAGTTGCAGGATATAAAAATAATATATACATATCAGTTGCATTTCTATACACTAATAACAAACTATGAGAAACAGAAATAAGAAAACAATCCCATTTATAATTGCATAAAAAAGAATACCTATGAATAAATATAACCAAGGAGTTGAAAGACCTATACACTGAAAATTATAATACATTGATGAAAAAAATTGAAGAAGAGACAAATAAGTGGAAAGATATTTCATGTTCATGGATTGGAAGAATTAGTATTATTAAAATGTCCATACAATCCACAGCAATCTATAGATAGAATACATTCAAAATTGTATTGGCATTTTTCATGGAACCAGAATTTTAAAATGTGTGTGGAATCACAAAAGACTTCAAATAGCTAAAGCAGTGTAGAGAAAGGAAAAGCCAGAGGTAGCATGCTCCCTTCCTTTCAAACTATAGTACAAAGCTATAGTAACCAAAACAGTATTGGCATAAAAACAGACACAGTGATCAATGGATAAGAATAGAGAACCTAGGAAGAAACCTGTGCATATATGGTCAATTAATTTATGACAAAAGAGCCAAGAATCTACAATGGAGAAAAGACAATCTCTTAAATAAATGGTGTTGGGACAATTGGACAGCCACATGTGAAAGAATGAAATTAGACTACTACCTTACACTATACACGAATTAACTCACTGGTCTAAAGGCTTGAATGTAAGACTCCTAGAAGACACATAGGGGTAAATTTGACATTGGTCTTGGCATTGAGTTTTTGGATCTGACTCCAAAAGCAAAAATAAACAAATGAGATTATATCAAACTAAAAGCTTCTTCTCAGCAAAGGAAACTACCTAGCAAAATGAAAGGACAACCGGCAGATTGAGAGAAAATATTTACAAGTAATATGCCCAATAAGGGGTAAATAACCAAAATATATAAAGAACTTAAACATCTCAATAGCAAACAAAAAATCCAAATTAAAAATGGCAGAGGATCTAAAGAGACATTTTTCCAAACAAGACATACAAATGACCAAAGGCACATGAAAACATGTTCAGCATCACCAATTATTAGAGAAATCCAAATCAAAACCACAATGCAGTAACACTTCACACTTTTTAGAACGGCTATTATCAAAAAGGCAAGAAGTAGGTGTTGGAGAAGATGTGGAAAAAAGTGAACTCCTGTGCACTGTTTGGTAGGAATATAAATTGGTGCAGCCACTATGGAAAACAAGATGGAGTTTCCTCAAAAAATTAAAAATAGAAATACCATATGATCAAGCTATTCCACTTCTGGGTATTTATCCAATGAAAATGAAAACACTAACTCAAAAAGAAATATGTATCTGTACCCCTGTGTTCATTGCAATAGTATTTACAATAGCTTAGACAGAGAAACAACCAAGTGTCCCCTGATTGAGGATAAAAAAGATGTGATATGTGATAAACACACACACACACACACACACACACACACACACACAGGAATACAACTCAGCCATAAAAATGAAGGAAATCTGGCCATTTGCAGTAATATGCATGGACCTTCAGGGTATTATGCTAAGTGAAATAAGACAGAAAGAAAGACAATACCATATGATTTCACTTATACGTATGTGGAATCTAAAAACTAAACAAATGAACAAACAAAACAGAACCATACTCACAGATACAAACAACAGATTGATGGCTATCGGAAGGGTAAAGGGGTTGGGGAACTGGAGAAATGGGTGATGGGCGTCAAATGTACGGTAACAGATGGAAACTAGACTTACTGTGGTAATCACCCTGTAGGATATACAAACATTGAATTAATATGTACATCTGAACTGTTATATACCAATTATATCTCAATTTTTAAAAAGGTTAAATATATAGTTATAATATAACAGAGCAGGTTCCACTCCTAGGTAATATATCTAAGAGAAATGGAAACACATGTCCAACCAGAAATTTGCATGCACATGTTCATAGCAGCATTATTCATAAAAGCCAAGAAGAGAAAACAACCCAAATGCCCATCAACTGATAAATGAATAAGCAATATGTGATATATCATACAATTAAAAATGAGTCAGCCATAAAAAGGCTGAAGTACTGATGCATGCACAACATGCTTGACCCTTGGAAGCATTATGGTAAGTGAAAGAAGCCAGATATAAAAGGTAACGTATTGTATGATTCCATTTATATGCAATGTCTGGAATAGGCAAATCCACAGAGACATCAAGTAGATTAATAGTGGCCTGGGGATGAGGGGTGGGAATGGGAGTGATTACAAATGGGTACAAGGTTCCTTTCTGGAGCCATGGAAATATACTAAAATTAGATTGGCATAACAGTTGCACAATAATATAAACTTAGTAAAAATCATTGGAAAAAAATGAAAAAATAGACACATGAGAGTTTCTAGAACGTATTCCCATTGCATTTTACTTTCATAATATCCTCACTTCTTATCTGAAGTGGAAGAAATCTATTTGTACTTGTAAAGGCAGTTATCTTTTTTTTTTCTTCCATCATACAGGAATACTAATAGTGTTGAGTTTCAGGTGTGATCAATGCAAAGGAAAAACATGTTTGTGTGAGCAAGTATTCAATGAAATATTTTCTGAGCCAGGTCTACAGGCTTATACACCCATAACAAATTTACTATTGCTAATTTGACCATGAAGGAGAAACAATGAAAGGTAACTAAATCCTCTGAAGAGTTTCCCTCTTCTTACATGTCTGGGGAGGCCTTGGCCAAATCTGAGAATCAGAGCTGACATGGGTGTTCTCCCAGCTTACACGTTATCCGCCAAGCAGAAGGGAGAAGGGCTGCCAAATCACCTTTACTCACCCGAAGTTCTTGGAGCCCAAAGCCTTCAGTGAGAGTGATCTGGGAGACATCAAGGTTGCAAATATAAGCTGCCAGCCGGGACAAGCTTTGCTTGCCACTGCTGCCCACTCCAATCAAGAGGGCATAACCCTGAGGGCTCCACAGGATTCGGCTGATGCGACACCTGGTGAGAGAAAGCGGGCCACTGCAGCAGGAAATCCAAAGAGCTCGGGGACTAAGTCTGTTTTATTTTTTACATAAATATTGAGACACTAAGTTCCCATTTTTACTGCAAACCTTTAGTCCTTGTTTATCTGTTTTGCCACCAAAGAAAGATGCTGCCTGCATCTGCCCTTACACTGCTGTTTCACCAACTGTCCTATGCTAATCACATCCTGGACTCTGCCAGTCCTTTACTCCTCTCCATCAAAACTCAAGAAGTCAGGCACATATGAGGCTTTTCATCTATGCTTCAGTTTTTTTTGATGAGCAGAGCAAGAAAGATCTCAACTTCACACCAGCAGCCATGTAAAATGAAATCAAAGGGAGAATGCTTTTGTGTTTAGGTCAAGAAACAATTCACATGTGATTTGTCTCATGCAGATTAAACACTTGGCTCTTTATGTGATTCTTCCTTATTTGCACCAAAGCTTCCCCTGGGCCTTGAACACTCCAGAAAATTTACCAAAATTTTTCAGACTCAGACTTAAATTTCCAGCAAGGTCAACTAACCCTTCTCCTACATTACTGAAGAGAATCTGAATGCTTAAGCAATTGATACAATTGCTGCATTCTACAGTTAGGTATAAACTGGCTTTAACATGATCAAAATAGGTGTTTGGTTGAAGAAGTATGTCATAATCATGTTATGTTATATTAAGATTATGTTATATATGCTATATTAAGAAGAGCAACAAAGTATAAGCATATGGATACCCAAATGCAAAAAACCGGACACCATTTTGTTTACTCTAGATTGCTTTTCTGAAATGAATTTAAACTCCAGGCCCTGAATGATCTGCATAGATGTTATTTTTAGAGTGCTTCTTGAGAAAATGAAGTTGGGGGTCACTCACACTAGGACGAGCAGGTCTGGGCATTTCCTGAAAACCTTCAGTAACTGACAAGACAGGGTACTTTTACAAGCTCAGCCATTCCATTAAGTTTAACTTTTCGCGACCACACAACAAAATCACCTTGGGAAAGCCGCGACATTACTTGGACACAAGAGAAACCTCAAGCTACAAAGCAGGGTCATCACTTTATTGTCTGGACACTTTGAAGTTTGTACCTCACAAGATGCTCTTAAGTGGCAAGTCTCTTTCTACAGCTCTCAAGGACACGCTCTGAAATCATCTCTAACACTGAGTAAATCAGCTTCCAGCTCATAATCCCTCATCAAAGTCACAGCCTCCTTCCCAGGCCACTGAGAACTACACTTGAAGGAATATATGGGAAGACTCTTTCCCTCACCATCAGTTCTCTTCTGCCTGAGCCCTGATACACACATGCAGTCAGTGCAAACTAACCCAATGGGACACAGTGCTACTAATAATTCCCTTAAAGCATGGTCACAGATGCCGATTAAGACTCCCTTTGTGTGCATGATCAGAGGATTGCTACTGCAAAGGATCAATAAAACAACTGATACTTGACATGATTATGGTAACTGATAATGGGGAGGCCTCCAAAGTTTATTTTAGGCACTTGGGCTAAACATTTTAAAGAGTAACTCTTCTAAAAATCAAACTCTCCACACTTTTTTGTTTGTATTTCCTTCCTCCGTACTTCCTTCTTTCTTGATTTATTTTTAATTATAATTTCATTATTTTAATCTTTGCCCAAACACTGTGTGTTAAAAAGGACAGTGTTATTAATTGAATGGTGTCCCCCCAAATTCATATACTGAAGTCCTAGGCCCCAGTACTGTAGCATATAAACTTATTTGGAAATAATGTCATTGCAGAAATAATTAGTTAAGATGGAGTAGAGTGGGCCCCTTATCCAATGTGACTGGAGCCTTTATAAGGAGAAATTTGGACACAGACACATACGGAGGGTGAATGCCATGTGAGGACTGGAGTTAAGCTGCCACAAGCCAAGGAACTACCAGAAGCTGACAAAGAATTCTGGAACAGATCCTTCCCAGTACCTTCGGAGGGAACATAGCTCCTCACACTTGATTTCAGACTTCTTGCCTCCAGAAGTGTGAGACAATAATTATCTGTTTTTCTAAAGCACCTAGTTTGCAGTGTTTTGTTACATCAGCTCTAACAAACCAATAGAGTCAATGAGAAATGATGGGAACTGCTGTTGGATGTAAAGATGAATAGACTTTCCATATAGCAGCAGTAAAGATGAGCTGTTTAGGCTAATCAACAAATCCTGACACTGTGGACACAGTATCTGTCCAAAAGCTTCCCACTGCACTTAGAATAAAGTCGACACTCTTTCCTCCGGTTACAAGGAAATATGCTGTGTGAACAAGGCTCATTCCTGCCTCTCCATCCTTGTCGTGTGCTGCTCTCCCCGCTTTTTCTCCATGCTGCAGCCACACTGATCCTCTTTCTGATTTTGAACATTCAGCCTTGGGGCCACATGAAACTGGCCCCACCTAGAATGTTCTTCCCCCAGATCTTTTCATGCCTACCTCCTGTTTATCATCTTGAGCTCACCTTAAATGTTACCTCCTCACATAGATTTCCAGACCTTCTTTGGGAATCTACATATTTTATTTCTCAGAATCAAGCTATTTCTCAGCATGACACATCATGTAAAACATTTTTCTTGTTTGTTTACATCCTATAAATATCTATCTGCACCACCAGTTAGCCCAACTAGAGAAGGTACTGAGCTATCCTGTTCGTGCTGCAGCCCCAGGACCTTGAACAATGTCTGACTTCAGGGGGGCTACACATGGTTATACAATCTGTGCCCTGCCCAAGGAGCCCAGTCTAGGAGGTGAGGGAGAGTCTTTCTGGACAAGCTCTACACAAGAACAGGGGCCTTTTTCTGCCAAGAAAACATATCCCCTCACCCATCTTTTCTAATTTTCAAAAAGCACTGACAGGTTGGCAGTCTCCCTGTTTAGCACTCCGTAGGTACTCAATAAACATGCTGAATCAATTCACATCAGTTTGAGTCCATCTTGACTCTGTACTTTTGAACTTTACGACTTTGAACAAGTCCCTTATCTTCCTCTTTTTCAATATTCTTATCTAACAGGGCAACAGTGAAATTATGTCTATGATGGCACTTCAGAAAGTAGTTTACCTGTATAAGACATTATTTAGACAGTGATATAAGTAATAGAGACACAGTTTTATATTGTGTAGCAAACTGTAGGTAAGAACCGGTAGTTCGGAGTACTTCGTACAATCTATTGAAAAACAATCATGGATACCCTGAAATTATCATTAAAAATCAGCTGTTTTTACTTGTGAAAAAGCATCATAACTAGCCAAGCCAACTCACACATGTTGCATGGCATCCTCAAATAGAACTAGGTGCATCGCAGCATTTAGTTCATTGTAGTCGTCTAAAGCTTGTGTAAGAACTGATTTCAGCACCTCCCAGTCCTTCACTGGCATGTAACTTGGGTCTTCCCCACCGTTGGCAAAGTGGCAATAAATGAGGGGCTGTTGAAGCAGCATACGACGGTCTACACCCTGCAGGAGGAGGAAGAGGAAAGTATGGTCATGTCAACCATCTGGAATGATTCATCTGGAGGCAGAGTGGGCCTCTCAAGGAAAAAGCTTTCAGATCAATATATGAGTAGGTGGGTGGAATGTGTCCTAGTACAGACTAAGTATATTCTGGAATCACAGCTATTTCAGCAAGGTAAGTATTTGCACAATTCATTCACATCCTTCGCTAACTTCTGCCCCAACTCCAATTAGTCCCAGAGCAAACAGTGACCTCTGGCATTTATACACTTACTTCAAAATATTTATAAGCAGTCTCCAGCATGTTTTTCTGAAACAAATCACAATCCTTTGTGTCTATCAGTTTGTCTCCATAAACACGAGAAGATTCGTGAAGCCACAGGTGTATTAAGTCATTTGGACCCTTTAAACATTCAGGAGAAGCAAATAATATCCCCTACAAGGCAAGAATGGGAAAATTTTTAAAAATAAGAAGCTGATGACATTACAAGATAGATAATTTTTTAATATTTTCTTTAATTGTATACTGAATTTAACAACTTATTGAGTTGAAACATTAAATATTTTTAATATATTAACATTATATATTTTACATATGTATTAACAGTCTTTCTATCTAGTAAGCAACATCTTAAAAATTTACTCTCATTAAACCTATTTTTTGGGAAGCAGCCAAGACTGCATTTCAAAAGCCAGACCAAGAACTAAATACTGCATCTGAGAATGTGTGTCTATTAAGTCTTCCAACTTATTTAATTTCCAAAACCAAAGTATAAACAGCTAACATGAAAGTCACAGGACCCTAATTTTTTTATTTTAAAATGCTTTGAAATCAGTAATCTAATCCTTTCATTTCGCAGATTACAAATATGAGGCCAAAAGTGAAGTTTTCTGAATTCACACTTTGTGGGTAGGTTGGATTCATAGAGACCCTCTCCTAATGGAATGAGTCAGCTTGCTCTGGACTCAACAGCGGACACCAAGGGGGTCGTGGAGAATTAGCCGCAAGTGACTAAGCGATTATGTGGTGGCGTCAGGAGCTGTCAACAGACTGCCTGGGAACAGCAAGCAGGCAGCCTCTCCATCCCAGGTCACTGACGGCCTTCCTTCCCTTTTCTTGTAACATTAAAAACACACTTTTAAATAACACTTTATTGAGCACAACCTTTCAGGCAAGTGCTAGAACTATAGAGATGAAAAGGAATGGGCCATGTTTTTAGGAAGTTGTTGTCTAATGCAGTGGTATGGTTTTGAGATAGTTCTAGAGTGATTTAGAAAAGAGAGTTATAAAAACATATGAAAAAACAAAAATCACCAAATATAAACAAGTCCCATGAAGTCTGCATATTCAACCAGTTTATTACCTTTCTCACAAAATAATTTAATCCATAAATAATTCTCAACTAACTTTTCTATATAGAGAAGACCCCATAAGTTGGATTTTTTTTTAATTCCAAGTTTTAAATTCCCTCTTTGGAATTGCCTTCTAAATCAAATATAAGCACTCTCCTTTTATCAGGTAAGCAAGGTGTCAATGTCAAAACAAAATAGCAATTAAAGAACCTATAATTTTCTTGATGTATATTTAAAAATCATATCACTAAGTATGAGAAAATGACAGTTCCTCTTACATGACACAAAATGAAGCACTCAAATACTTATAAGGAATAAATGAAATAGTTAGTACAATCTTCTATCCCTGCTTCTGTTACTAAGTCTCTATGCAACCTGCAAAGAACCTCTACTCTTACTGATAAAATGGGAATAATAAACTTACCACACAGGGAGAAGTTTATGGTGCAACATGAAAAAATGCATACAGAAGTACATAGCATAATTGTAAACCAAGTGCCATATTTTATGCCATTAATTTTACTATAATCATTCCTTCACTCAAGATGCATAATACAGAGCCATCAAGGTACCTGGAAGATGTTTGACATGTCTCTCAGATTAAAGAGGTAGTGGAATTTAATAGCTGTGGGTAAGAAGTTATGTGTCATCATCTGATGGAATGCGATTGTTGCCTGTATCAAAGAGGGGCCACTCTTGAGAACTGATGCACTGAATGCTTGCTGCTGGAAATGGCAACTAAGGATTTGGCTATAGATGGTGTTAAGCGCATCCAAGGATGGAAAGTTGAATGCAAACACTGTGAAATGTCTCTGAAAAGAAAAACAAATACAGAAGTTGCATAATACAGGGGTTTTATAATATACCAGTAAATTAAACAAACAAACCTCTGTTTAATCCCTTCCTGTAATTTTGTAGTGCCTTCTACTCTGAGTCTGGGCCTGCCCATATGAGTTGACTGAGCCAGCAGAAAGAGGTGGAAGTGACGACATGCTGCTCACTGTCAGAGGCTTGTGTGTTTCCATTTGCTTTCTTAAGGCTTTACACCTTTATCATGAATTCTACAAGCCTGCTGATGGATGAGACACATGGGACAGGGCCACACTGTCCCAATCTCTCCAGCCAAAGCCACTTTAGACTAGCTGACAGTCGACTCCCAGACACATGAATGAGCCCAGCCAAGATTATCAGGGTCACCTAGCCAACCTCCAGCTCACTCCAGACAAGTTAGTAAGCAGCGATTATTGCTGTATGTATGTTATTGGTGGTGGTGGTGATTTTTACTGAAGAGCTTACATGCACACACAAAACCTGCACATACATATGTATATCAGCTGTGTACATAATTGCCAAATGTAGAAACAGCCACGACATCCTTCAGTTGGCTACTGGATAAACAAACTGTGATTGTTCAATACAATGAATACTATCCAGGGATAAATGTGCTATTGAGACATGAAAAGACATGAAGGACCCTTAAATGCATACTTAAGCTAAATGAAAGAAGCCAGTCTGAAAAGGCTATATACCACATGATACCAACTACATGACATTCTGGAAAAGGGAAAACTATGGAGACATAAAGGATCAAGTGGTTGCCAGGGATTCAGGAGGATGGGAGGAATGAATAGGTGGAGCAAAGGGAATTTTAGGGACTGAAAGTATAACGTGTGATACTTTTATGGTGGATTATTATACCAAAACCCATAGAATGTACAAGACAAAGAATGAATCCTAATGTAAACTTTCAGACTTCAGTTATTCACAACTTATTGATATTGGCTCATTAGTTGTAACAAATCACCACTTTAATGCAAGATATTTGTAATAGGGTAAAATGAGGTTAGGGGAATGAGGGAGTATATGGGAACTCTGCACTTTCAGCTGAAACAGCTAAATGGTTTGTAAACCTATAACTGCTCTAAAAGATAGCTATTAATTTTTAAGAAAAGCTTACATGCTTAACCAAACATCTATTAGGAGCTTTAATTTGCACTCAAAGGCATCATGCATGAAGATCTACAATATTAACATATTATATTTAGGGGTCTTTGTGAGACAGCAGTTCTCAACCCCCTACCTGTAGTCTAGGATTGATTGTGAAATTGCCCACCATCAGATTCATGCAGGCAATATACTGACAGTTGTGGATTTCTTTAAGCATCACCTTCTGTCTATCATACCTGAAAAACAGAAAACAGAGTCTTAAATCTGAAAACTAATGGTGATGACAAAATCCACCAATTCCTAAAGGATTCATCACAGACTGTCTACTCTGATCTTTGTAATCGCTGTGAAGTTGAGCTTATTAGCCTGATCTCCAGGATATAAAAACTAAAGCTTGGAAGGTTATATAGTTCCTTTGACCAGAATCAACAGAGCTGAGTCAATACATAGTATTACTGCTTATTAAGTCTTAGTGACCTGATTTTTGGTTAGAAATATCCACAGCAAAGCTACAGGACTCCTACTTACAGCAGGGATCGCAGACCACAATGCCCAGATATTACCAATATACCACAGCATAAGGGGAGGCTTCTCCCAAGAAACTCAGTGTGAGTTAATGTATTAAAGAAGTTAATGCTTAAACTGTACAGTTTATGCTTCTAAAAACTTTTTGATCTAATTCTTCCAAAGATATATGGGCATCTATTCCATTTACAGAGAGGAAAAGGGGATGCAGAATGAAACTCCTAAGGTGTCACAGAAAATGCTCCTCAGAAGACAAAGAAATTGGGGTTATTCCATTTTTAAATATTTATCTGTAATAATAAGAATTAGGTAGAGTATAAAATACATTTGCTTACCAGTGTCCATAATCAATATGCTGTCGAATCAGAGTGTGGGGCTGAACAGTGCCATATAAGTCCACTTCAGGTGTATTCATGTCATCAATAAAATAAACCAATTTTTTATTTCCTCTTGGACCGTAGTTATGACCAGCTTTTTTCTCTAGAGGTTTCTCAAGAATTCCTGAAACAAAGAGATAATTCTTTCTACCAATCAGATAAAATGTAGCTTTCTGTCCTTCGTTTTTTTTTTTTTCCTTCTCATTTTTCATCATTGTCCATTTCATCCACTCTATGGCTAAAGTGTCACCTCTCTGCAGGCTGATTTCAGAGATGCATCTCCGGTCACCTCCTTCTATGTCATGCTCCCCTGCCAACCTCCCTCCTGTTGCCAGAGTTCCCCCCGTCTCTCCATTCCTGGAGAGTCAACATCTGCAATGGGATAGCACCCTGGCCACCACATCTGAGACAATGCCATCGCTTATCTGTGCACTCTCCTCCCCTGGCCCACTGCCAGTCCAGCCACGGCCTGGCCTGGCCTCTCAGTCCTTCTTCTCTATCGCCCTGCAGGATCATCTAGGGACAGCTGGAGAGTCTCCCACACCTCTTCCCGGGCCAGAGGGCAGAGGTACAAGAGGGTACTGTGTGTGGACACCATCCTTCAATACAAGTTATCGTTTCTTCATGTGGCTAATTAACTGTGTCCATATATTTGAGAGAAAATTACAAATGTAGAAAATCCTGAACAGTGTGTGTCTGAGAAGTAGTATCTAATTACTTGTGGACTCTCCAAACGGATTATAAATAGCATGAGGATGGAACTATGTCGTGTTCATGTTCATCAGTATTCCTGATGACAACCACAAGTAATTTGTTAAATGAACAAATGAATAAATTAATGAACAAAGAAGTATAAAATGAATAAATCAACAAACCCCTCTTCCAAGCAGTGGCCCTGTCTTTTCAAACACTTTGGTTACTGGTGCCTGGACATTTAGCAACACCCAAATAAACACCTCTTCCCAAACTGAATTTAATATGCCTCTTCCTCACGCACAACCTACCTCTTCTTTTTTGCCTTTTGTGCTTCTGCTTATGGGATTAACACTTTCCCAGCCAGCCAGATGCAAAGCCTCAACATAACTTTTCTCTTCTGGTCCCTCCCTGATCTGCCCAACCACAGCCTGCAAATGGTACCTCACGGCCCCTCCTTTGCGCCTCTCCCTTTACAGTTCTAATACAGAGTAACAGTGTATTCAGCCAGTATTCTCCTCGAGGAGCCTGGTCTCCCCATCTCAGACCTCCCTTCCCAAGTATAGCTTGCATCTTGTCAGTTCCTTGCTCCCCATCAATTGCTCACCATTTCCTACCAAATGAAATGCATTCTCTTTGGCTTTCAGCTCAACTGTCTTTATAGTTACCGTGACCATCCTCGGTTGCCTGGGACTATGTTAGTTTTAGCACTAAAAATCCCAAGTCTTAGAAATTCCTGAGGTCTTCGGCCAACTTGACAGCTGGGCATTCTATCTACATTATGACTCTACCCTGCCAGCCTTCTATCCCATCACTGGCTTCAGTAAATCTAGAGGTTCAATGAACTAATTGTGTCCCACAGTTCTCTCTCTTTCACGCATTTGCTTAAGCTGATTCTTCCATCTCATCTCCCATTTTTGCCTGGTCACCCAATCTTGAAAGTTTGAAATCCCAACTTTCTTTAGAGGACACTGCTACTTTCTATTTTTCATGCTAATAGACAATTTCTAAGTTTTACACCTGTGCCCCTTCAGGAATTAGCAAGGCACACTCATACCCTATACAAGTCATGAAATGATCCCTTCTGCTGTGTCCGTGAATGAAAAACATGCAGTGGATATGGCGCCTGGGGAAAAGTAGATAAAGAACATACATTTGCTAAAGAAATCAATGAAATACTGCTGAGTCAGCTTTTAAACTGCTCCTTTCACAAAGGCAAGGAGATGAACTTGACACTGAAAGAAGAATCACTCTTAGCTGAGTTCATGTCAATAAGGTAACTTCTCTCTACTGATATAACAGAGAAAATTGTAACAATATACCTAATGCACATATACAACACAGAAACCAGGCTTCATAAAGTACTGGACAACAGGGAGACTTTGCCCCCCATACACACAATATGGCCCTGTTAATACCCACCAATATCAGCTCTCCATAGGATTGCTCCTCTCCTCCCCATGTCTACTTGGCTTGTCCTTCCTTACTCAGGTTCTTTTGATTACATTGATACATTTATTCAACAGTTTAAAATTATTCTCATAGTTTTTCTAAGATTTAATCAACAGCTCATGGCCTGTCATTCCATCAGTATAGTTGTAATGAATTTCTCCTAAATCAATTTCTTACTTAGAAAGGTACTATCTCCCTGGAGTACTCCCTATGTTGTCAGGGCTTCATGAAATTGATTAAAAGTAACCTAACAGTTTAGATGCAAAGCAGTGAACACTGTTGACATTATTATTACTGTTGTAAAGAGTTCTAACTAGCCAAAGAAACCCATATGAAAAACCAAAATCACAAAGTGTATTTACCCAGAATGGCAATAAGTAAAAATTCACCTGAGACCTGAGGGAAATGGCTAAAGCCTAGAGAAAGTAGGCATCCCTTGGGGCTGCATGTCCCTGACTTGGCAGTTTCTGATCTCGTTACTGGAATATGAACAGGGGGAGCACTTACTTTGCAGAGCTGCAGATGTCATGTAGTAGTTGAAAGGCACACGGGACACAGTGTAATCCTCAGAGAGACTTGCCAGCCTGTCACCTACAAAGACTGTTTTTCCCACCCCTGCATTTCCGACTAGCAATACTGGTCGTCCTTTCTCAAGCAACAGCTGCACAAAATAGCTGAGACGAGTTGTCTCTGATGTGTGAACCAGAACTCTCTGGGGGGAAAAATTGAATGAGAGAAAGGTCAGAGGGGGAGACATTCCAAAATTGTGTATATCTGAACCAACACAGTTACTTTAGAATTGAGGCCCAAAGAATTCTACCAGTAGGAGAGATCTCACCCAATTTTCAGTTTTGGATAGTCAGAGCTCCAACATCATTGCTTGAGGAGAGCAACTGTGTATGCTGCCCAAGTACAATAACATGAGCAACTGAATTGTCCTTTTCAATCAAGTACTAGTGCCCAAGCACTCCTATCATTGAATACCTATAATCTGCGTAATCTTGGGCTAGGCACATTAGGGAATATAGTAAACATTTAAGAGGCTACCCACTGCTCTTTAGGAGCTGACCGAACATCTGAAAAGTCAAGCCACTCATAAACGATAGTCGGTACCAATGCCTGGTAAGATTAAGTGGCAAAATATTACACAAAATTCATACTAAAGGAGATCAGCATGGGGAGACAGTAACTAGTTTGGGGAGAACAATGAATTTAAGTGGAATATTCACAAACCCAAGGCATATTTGAAACTGATTATGCATTGTTCTGTTAAAAATTTTTATAACAATGTTTCTGTTTTGAAATTTGGCTATTTACTTAGACACTACACTTGTTCCACAAACAATCTGGGGTGGCTTACATAAATAAAATGAAGGATACATAATAGTAAGTAAAAAATCAGACTCAGGGATCACAGACTAATAGATAAGACGAAGAAAAGGAGTAGCAGTGTAGACATGGCAGAAATAGAATTCTGCACAGTGATTAAAAAAGAACTGATAATTTCTTGCATTTCTTAGTGGTCAAATTAAGGGAGTGAAAAGCTATTTGCAGTATTCATATTGTTCATAAGAAAAGCACATAAATTATAAAATGAATAAGGTTCTTCCTTACGTGCTTAGCATATACTGAACACAATGGAGTATTTTATAGATCATTCAGGATCATGTTCATAATTAACAACATTTACTCTAGAATTTCATACTAACTCAGTGATACCCTCAGGGCCTATTGAAAGGCACAGACTGTCCTGAGCCATATTAAATAGTCCCAGATGATGTTTTAAAAAAAGTTATAGTTGTGTTTTATGGTATTTTTTTCTCCTTTTTTGCTGTTGGTTGTCATCATTTGCTTTTTAATTTGGCTCTTAATTCTTTTCTCTACATTAATACCAATAATTAACACTTACTGAGAGCTGAGTTGCAACAGGTACTTTGCGAAGCACTTTTTACGCAAAATGTCATATGATACTCATAAGACTCTGAGGAGCATTTTGTTATTTCCATTTCAGAGATGATGAACCTGAAGCCCACAGAACATTAATAACTTGGCCACAGTCACAGTGAACTAGAAGTGGTAGTACTGGGGTCAAGCAAGCCTGACCAGAACCTAAGCCCTGTTTTACCTACCATATAGAAGAACACACTTTAGAAAATGACCTGAAGACACATTGCTTAATCTCTTGGTACCCCTATTTTTCCATATGTAATAAGGACAGAAATAGTCCATGCCTTATACAGTTTTATAAGGATTAAATCCGTTAATCTATATAAAGCAATTAGAAAAGGGCCTGACATAGAACAACTTAGTATTTGTATTGGCTGATATTACCAATTCAGTATGATTCTCTTCCAATATGTTAAAAGGCTGTTAATCAAATAACCACATTTGGTGCAACTGTGTGTAAAGTAAGATTACAATGTCCTAATAGGTTCCCTTTTGAATAAATATTATTGATCAGGTGCATCAACCTGTGTTACCAGTTTTTGGTCTTTGGTTAATTACACATTTTCAGCTAGATAAATTCCCACCAGCTAGATAATACTGCTAGGCAGGAGAAGTCTAGGTAGGCTAAGCAAAAACAGAGATCTTAAAATACATAAAGCAGATGGAGCAGACACTGTTGGTTGCTTTCCAACACCCGTTTCTCCACCTCCTTCCTCTCAGAACCTCCACTTTGTTCAAGTCTTCATGCCCCTTCCACAGCATGTGCTTTGGGGAAGCTCAACCCAGCTCCTCAAGTGGCAGGATGATTTGTCAAAGCCAATTATGGTAACCCCATTATCCTGGCCTGAGACTGAGTTAGGGATGGCAAATGCCCCCTTATGCAGGAGGTGGTCTTCTCTAGGGCTTCTGAGAAAGATCTCACCAGGCCTAATATGAGAAGTCTCCTTTTCCTCTGAAGGTAACTCCTGGGGCCCTGGAGCCATCTCAAGATCAGGAGGGACCCCAGTCTTAAGATGATGCCAGTGTTAAGAAGAGCAGAACAGAGAGACGGGATGACATGAATCCTTGGTTATACCTCCATCTCAAAATTAATCAGTCTAAGGTCCATCCTACCTCTGAATTTCTTGAAATAAATTTCCTCATGTTAGGTGTTATGGGTTGAACTGTGTCTTCCCAAAATTTGTATGGTGAAGCCTAACCCCCAATACCTCAGAATGTGCTATGGATTTGGACACAGGGTCTTTAAAGGGGTACTTAAGTAAAAATGAGGCCATTAGGGTGGGCCCTAGTCCAATGTGGTATCCTTATAAGAGGCAATTCCTCTTATAAGAGGAATCCCTTATAAGAGGCAATTCCAGGGATTTGTGCACAGAGGGAAAAGAGGTGGCTATGTGCGGCCAAGGAGCAGGGTCGCAGGGGAAAACAAACTGCAGACTCCTCAGTCTTGGACTTCCAACCACCAGAACTGTGAGAAAATAAATTTTTGTTGTTAAAGCCACCCAGTCTATAGTAGTTTGATATGACGGCCCTCACAAACCAACAGAAATAGAGCAAGCCCCTAATCTGACTGATATCCTTATAAAAAGAGAAATTTGCATATAGGACACACACAGGAAAAATGTCATATGAAGACTGAAGCTGAACTACCACCAATGCAGGAACAAGAAAATCGCCAGCCACCCCCCAAAAGGCAGGAGAGGCGCATGGAGCAGACTTGCCCTCACAGTCCTCAGGAGGGGCTGATCCTGCTGACACCTTTTCAGCTTCTAGCCTCCAGAACGATGAGAAAATACATTTCTGTTGTTTAAGCCACCTATATTGTGGGACTTTGTTACAGAAGCTCCAAGAAACTAATACATCGGATTTTCTCTAATTTGACAATAGCTGCCTTCTAAATAATGACATAGAAATTACTTATGTTGTATTCATATGGCACTACTTGAAACAATAAGCTCCAAAATGAATCAGAACGACATGATTTTGAGAAAGAAATATGAAAAGGAAAGCAGATTGAGGTAGGATAAAATTACTAAAGAATGATTCAATAAAGAAGAACAATAATACCTGAAGAGAAACAATTAAAAAGAGAGAAAGATTTATTTAGATTTGTCAGCTCCCATATGAATTTGAAATGCATGAGCTGAGGAAATTAAACATTCATTTTATGGCTTAGGATGTTAAAAGAAATAGGTTATATGTGAAAAGTGTTAAGACATAAGGGCAGATATAAGAACTATAGAAATATGCCCCCAACTTTTAATAAAATTCACAAAATTTCTAAGAAAATATAAAGAAACCTGTTACCATAGAAATAAATTGAAATATTTTTTAAAAGGAGGTTGCAGAAATCTGATGTCATCTCACTACTCAATCCTATAACTGAAATTCTTCTTCACCAGGAAATGTTACATGCTGACCATATCAACAATAATTTGTCCATCAAGAAGGAAGAGAAAGACTGCTGGAAAACAATCAAAAAGAGGGTCAAACCAGCATAGTGTGGCTTGAAATTTACTGTGCTCTAGACACCTACCTGCAGAGGTACATTGGGATCCAGAGTAAATTGGGGGATTTTATCAGTCCAAGGCAAGAATTTCTTAGTTTTGTGGTCCAAATAATAATCAAAGATTGTTCCCTGGGATGGAAACTTCACTGATTTCATCTCTTTATGCCACCACCGACTGAATTCAGCTTGATGAACAGAAAGCTATGGAAAACAAGAAAAATCCTTATTGCAGACTTAAAGGTAATTTTGAATACATACATACAAAGCTCTTTCAAATCCAGTTGAACTCATAGTGTTTGCAATGTACAGAGTCATAATTACAAATGGGACTGAGTAACAACTCAAGAAAAATAACTAGAAGTTATAATGAGTAATAATATCAGGAAGGCAGAAACCTTTAATGGCCATGTATTCATCAGATATGTATTTTCTAGAAAAATTGTTAACTTAAAAACAAGCTAAGTTTGGCTGAACCTTAGATTCCCCCGGGGTTATATTCCCTATAACTTCCCTAATATGGGGAGGGAAATAGATAACCCAGGTCCTAGAAGTGCACTGAGCCCCTAACAAAAGGAACTACAAAAAGACAACACCAAGACATACAATAATTAAAATGACAAAGATAAAGGATAAAGAGAGGGTACTGAAATAAGCTAGAGAAAGGCAAAAAATTACTTATAAGGGAAACCCGATCATGCTATTAGCAGACTTCTCAGCAGAAACTTTGCAGGCCAGAAAGGAGTGGCATGAAATATTTAATGTATTGAAACAAAAGGACCTTCAACCAAGAATCCTCTTTCCAGAAAGGTTATCATTCAGGAGTGAAGGAGAGGTTAAAAGTTTCCCAGATAAATGAAAGATAAAGGAATTCACCATCACTATACTGCCTTACAGGGTATGTTAAAGGGGCTTCTGTAGATGGAAATGTTCTTAAACCTAAATATTTTTCACCAGTAAAAATAAACCCACAGTAAAGGAAGTAGTCCAATTACTTACAAAGTAAGTTTGAAGTCAAAACAAAACAAAAGCAGTTAAACCAACTATACACAAAATCAGTCAAGAGATACACACAAAAAATGCAGATTGTGACACCTAATACATAAAGTGTGGAGGAGTAAGAAGAAGAAACAAGAAGTACTTTCAGATTGTGTTTGAAATAGAGTGACCATGAACCTAATATAAACTGTTATATAGTTAGGAAACTATCCATGAACCTTATGGTAACCACAATCAAAAGCCTATAATAGATATACAGAAAAAATTAAAATGAAATCCAATCACAACCCTAAAAAAACTCATCGAATAACAAGAGAAGAGTATGAGAGGAAGAAAGGGACAGAGAGGAACTATAAAAACAAGAAGAAAACAATTAATAGAATGGACAATAAATACATACCTATCAATAACTACCCTAAATGTAAATGGACCAAATGCACCAACCAAAGACTCAATGAGGCATAATAGATACAGAAACAAGACCCATCTATATGCTGTCTACAAGAAGCTCATCTCAGACCTAAAGTCATACACAGACTGAAAGTGAAGGGATAGAAAAAGATATTTCATGCAAATAATGAAGAAAAAGCAGGAGAAGCAGTATTTATACCAGACAAAACAGATTTCAAAACAAAGAAATAATAAGAGACAAAGAAGGTCATTACATAATGATAAAGGGATCAGTCCAACAAGAGGACATAACCATCACAAATATCAATGTACCCAACATAGGAGCATCTAAATATGTAAAACAAATACTAAGAACTCAAAGGAAAAATAGACTGCAACTCATTCATATTAGGAGACCTTGATATACTGTTTACATCAATGGAAAGATCAGCCAGACAGAAAATAAATAAGGAACAAAGGCACTGAACAACATAGTAGATGAGATGGACTTAACAGATATCTATGGAACATTCCACCCAGAAGTGGCAGGATACACATTTTTCTCAAGTGCATATGGAATGTTCTCCAGAATATTAGACTTAGAATAAATGGATAAATTCCTAGAAAAGTACAACCTTCCAAGACTGACCCAGAAAGAAGCAGAAAATCTGAAAAGACCAGTTATCAGTAACAAAATTGAACTGGTAATCAAAAAAACTCCCAATGATCAGAAGTCCAGGACCACATGGCTTCATAGCTGAATTCCACCAAACTTTTAAAGAAGAACTAATATCCATCCTTCTTAAAGTATCCCAGAAATTAGAAGAGGAGGGAATGCTTTCAAACTCATTCTATGAGGCCAGCATCACTCTAATACCAAACCAGACAAAGATGCTACAAAAATAGAAAACTACAGGCCAATATCCCTGATGAAAATAGATGCAAAAGTCCTCAATAAAATATGAGCAAATCAAATTCAAAAACATATAAAAAGGATCATCCATCATGACCAAATGAGATTTATTCCAGGGATGCAAGGATGGTACAATAATCATAAATCAACATGATATATCACATTAACAAAAAAATAGATAAAACCATATGACCATCTCACTAAATGCTGAAAAAGCATTTGACAAAATTCAACATCTATTCATGATAAAAACTCTCAACAAAATGGGTTAGAGAGAATGTACCTCAACATAATAAAGGCCATATATGACCACAACTAACATCATACTCAATGGTGAAAAGTTAAAGCTTTTCCTTTAAGATCAGGAGCAAGATAAGGATGTCCACTCTCACCACTTTTATTTAACATATTATTGGAGGACCTAGCCACAGAAATCAGACAAGATAAAGAGAGAGAAGGCATCCAAATTGGCAAAGAAGAAGGTAAACTGTCACAATTTGCAGATGACATGATATACAGAGAAAATCCTGAAGACTCCACCAAAAAACTATTAGAACTAACAACTGGATTCAGAAAAGTTGTAGGATACAAAATTAATACACAGAAATCTATTACATTCCTATATACTAAGAACAAAATAGTATAAAGAGAAATTCCAATTCCAATTGCATCAGAAAGAATAAGATACTTAGGAATAAACCTAACCAAGGAGATTAAAGACCAGTACCCTGAAAACTAAAGACAGTGATGATAGAAATGAAAAAAGACACAAATGTTATCCATGCTCATGGATAAGAATTAATATTGTCAAAATGGCCATCCTGCCCAAAGCAACTTACAGATTCAATGTAATCCCTATCAAAGTACCAATGGCATTTTTCAGTGAACTAGAGCACATAATCCTAAAATTCTCATGAAACCACAAAAGACCCCAATCCTGAGAAAGATAAACAAAGCTAGGGTGTTACAATCCTTGACTTCAAGACTATAAAACTCCAGTAATCAAAATACTATGGTACCAGCACTAGAACAGACCCATAGATAAAGGGAACAGAATAGAGAGCCCAGATAAAAACTCACACATATATAGTCAATTAATATACAGATAAAGGAGCCATGAATATACAATGGAGAAAAGAGAGCCTCTTCAACAACTGGTGTTGGCAAAACTGGACAGCTACATGCAAGAGAATGAAACTGGATAACTGTCTAACTCAATACACAAAAGTAAACTCAACAGGAATGAAAGGCCTAAATGTAGGACATGAAACCCTAAAACTCTCAGAATAAAACATAGGCAAAAGTCTCTTGAACATAAGCATGAGCAATTGTTTCTAGAACACATCTCCTCAGGCAAGGGAAACAAAAATAAAAAATGAACAAGTGAAACTGCATCAAACTAAAAAGCTTCTGAACAGCAAAGGACACCATCAGCAGAACAAAAAAGTATCCTACAGTATGGGAGAATATATTTGTAAGTGATTCATCTGATAAGGGGTTAACATCCAAAATATATGAAGAACTCATAGATGTCAACACCAAAAAATCCCCAAATAACCTGAATAAAAAATGGGTGGAGGACCTGAACAGACATTTTTCCAAAGAAGAAACACAGATTGCCAACAGGCACATGAAAAGATGCTCAACATCACTAATCATCAGGGAAATGGAAATCAAAACCACAATAGGAGATCATCTCACACCATTCGGAATGGCCACTATGCAAAAAAACAAGAAAAAACAAGTGTTGGTAAAGACATGGAGAAAAGGGAACCCTCCTACAACAGAAAAGGGACTGTTAATTGGCACAGCCATGTGGAAAGCAGTATGAAGGTTCCTCAAAAAACTAAAAATTGAAATGTCATATGACAAAATAATTCCACTTCTAGGAATTTACCCAAAGAAGACAATATCCCTGATTCAAAAAAATATATTCATCCCTGCTTATTGCTGCATTATTTACAATAGCCAAGAAATGGAAGCAACCAAAATGTTCATCAATAGATGAACTGATAAAAAGGATATAGCACATATACACAATGGAATATTATTCTGCCATACAAAAGAAAAAATTCTGCCATTTGCTACAACATGGTTGAACCTAGAAGGTATTTATGTTCAGTGAAATAAGCCAGTCAGAGAAAGACAAATACCATATGATTTCACTTATTTGTGATTCATAGGCATTGAGAAAGGATGGGTGTTTACCATGGGGGAGGGAGTGCAGTGGGTCAGTGGGGAGGGAGGGGGAGAGGCATAAAAGGGCACAAAAATTCTCAACTATAATATAAGTTGGTCATGGAGATGGTAGTACAGTATGGAGAATATAGCCTATGATTCTGTAACATCTTCCTAGGCTGGCAAATAGTAACTGCACTGATGGGGGTGAGATTTAATTATATGGGTAACAGCTGAACCACTGCGTTGTGTATTTGAAACAAATATAAAATTGTATATCAACTATTCTTCAGTAAAAAAAAAAAAAATTGCTTCATCTAACCAGTACATCAGCAAAACGATTTTGGGGACAAGTCTTTGATTCATTAATTCACTCAATTAACTTGCATTTTTCTGTGGAGTTGAAGAGACAAACAGAGTTTCCAACCTTACAGAGTTTCTGGGGAAGATAAGGTGGTGGGCTGTGCTGGGGGCTTGAGGAACCACTGGAAGCAGAGGTTAAGACAATCAATGCAGTAATAAATAGGCACTTTGAAAGTAGTTTGCTATAAGTGAGGATGACAGGGATGAATCTATATTCATTGGGTATTCAGGGAAGCCGTCTTTGAGAATAGGCACAGATTAAGGAGAAGACCATTCCAAGAAGCAAGACAAGTCAAGGATGTAGTGGCATTAAGGAACTTACATTCAAGAAACTGGCCAGTGCAGCTGGTGGAATGGGAGGCGAGACAGCAGCAGAGGGAGACGTAGGGGAATTAAAACTTAAAATTTTATCTTAAAAGCAATAGGAATCCATTAAAGTGTTTTATATTCTAGAGTATATCATGTAATTCAATTTGAGCAGATAATGGATTATGGGACAGGTATGGGAGCAGAAAGACCAATAAGAAGGTTACTATGGAAGCCAAGTGAGTAAAGATAGTGGCGGGTTATAGGCGCTCAGCAACAGTGGAGCTGAGACCTATTTTGGAAGTTGTATTTGCATTGGTAAAGAACACAGGTCCTGAGTTAGTCTGTTGTGATTTGAACCAGGCTCAGACATGACTTAGCTATATGTCCTCAAGCAGGCTACTCATCTCCTAAGTTTCAGTTCCTTTTTTTGTAAAAGAAGTAGGAAGATAGCTGTACCTATACATATAGGTTTTATTATTATTTTTAATATTTAAGGAGATAACCTGTAAAAGTCCTAAACATTTTTCCCTGACATACAGTAAGGACTCAAATTTGCTTAATAAATGGCTATCTTAAGACTATTGATTGTGTCTGCTTCATACATGTTTCCAACTTTCTAGCCTCTCTTTTGAATGCTTCATAGAAGGGCCCTCTTGAAAATCTAAAAATGATGATGATGTTGACTATTAATTAGGGAGAAGGTACCCACTGTGATGCTCAGCTTCTGGCCTGGTAACTGCCTGCAATGCTGCCCTGCTTGGAACTGGGAAAGATGAAGAGAGGACAGCTGAAGAAAGGTGCAGCATTATGATCAGGGGTAGAAAGATCTCAGCTGTCAACATCCTCCTCACGCAATGTTACCTGGTCTTACAGTCCTGGAAAAGGGAAAACCTCGTGAAGAACACTGAAAAAGCAAGGCGGGCCTGGGGAGAGGGAGACGTTGTGCATGTGGCCTCCATGAAGGAGAAATCCACACGTGTTACACATCATGACTCTGATAAAAACCATGTGAGTCACTGTTTCTTGACTCTCACTGTTATTCTTTAGAAAGCACTTGGAGTTTACAGAGGAAATGTGGCTTCTGAGAAGGATCAAAATATCTAGGAGGCCAAGTGAATGCCAAATTTATTTGTAGATATGACTTGTGGTAACTTAGCAACGAGTAATGGAACTGGCCCCAGGTCACACCAACCATGGGTTTTAGGGCCCAAGTAAACCAATGGAAATATGAGTCACTCTTGGCCTGTGATGACTGCCAACTTCAATTCCCTGTTTACATGGGGAAACATTCAGGGAAGCCTGAGAGATATGTGAAACCTGTTTTTGATGCAAAGATTTGGAAGTACCTTAGAAGCACATGCCCAGCAGAGGTCCTGAGGTTCCCTGGAAGTTATGGCCTTTGGGATGTACATAGGTGGGAATTCTGATGTGTAGATGTCCTATCAATGTAACCATGGTCCAGTTACTTCAACTCTCTGCCTTTATCTGCACAATGAGGATACTATGCAGAATTACTGTAAAGATTACATGAGGAAAGCTATAGAGATGCACGGTGGAGATTAGATGTGCAAATTTCTAAAGTTGGAAAACTCGCACTTTGCACTTTGGCAAGTCTAAGTAGTTTGGGTGTGTGTGTGTGCGTGTGTGTGTGTGCATGCACTTGTGAAGTTCTTGTCTCAAGAGTTTGTCCGAAAGAAATAAGAAGCCACAAACAAGCCATACCAGGAATGCTGCAGAGGTATAATTGCCTCAATTAAGGCTGAAGGAAAGGCCAACAGAAAGGAATTAGCCTGGGGTTGGCTATAGTCCATTCACAAATGATTACCCTGGGAATCATGTGTGAGACTGACAAGAGGTAAGAGACTAGTTAGAAAGAGAGAAACCAATTTAAAGGTTATTATGTACTACAGATTGGATTATGTCCACTACCACACACACAGACACACACACACCCAACTCATACAATGAAGCCCCGGCATGATGGTATTGGAAATGGGGCCTTTGGGAGATGATTAGGTTTAGGTAAGAACATGAGGGTTGGGTCCTCATGACAGGATCAGTGCTCATATAAGAAGAGACACCAAAGAGCTTTTTTATCCTTCTCTCTGTCATGTGAGGACACAGTTAAAAAAAGTGGCTATCTGCAAGCTAGAATAGGGTTCTTGCTGGAACCCAACCATGCTGGCTCCCTGACCTTGGACTTCCAGCTTCCAGAACTGAGAGGAAGTCAATGTCTGTTTAAGCACCCAGTGAACGGTATTTTTTATGGCTGTCTGAGCTAAAACATACAAATGATCTAAAGATGACTCACTTCTGAATTAAGGCTATAGGGATGGAGAAGGGGGAACAGACTTGATGCGTATTTTTAACTGAAAGGATCTGATGACCATCGGATGTAGAAATAAGGAAGAATGATGCCTCCCAGATTTTTAATCAGAGCAACCGGGAGGAGTGTAAATATTGCTGGGAAATAGAAAGAATAAAGAGAAAGAGCAAATTTTGGGGTGGGGCAGGGTAGATGGAGGGCTCTGTCTCAGGCACAGTGCCTGGGCCTTGCCTGGGAACAGCACTCTGCTGGCACTGCTCAGAGGCAGGAGGATGAATACAACCTTGAGCCTTAGAAGAGAGACCCAGTGGGAGGCTATGGATTCAGCACTGCCAGCCAAGGTTAGGACCACAGGCCTCAATGAGCTCGCCTAAACAATGTATAGGCTTAGGAGAGAAAAGGGCAAATAGGACAGATTTATGATAATATTTAAAAAAGCCTAAGGATCACATAATATTCCACCCTACCCCCTGCCAAATAAAACTGGTACTATGTCCTATTTCTAAAAATACCTGATCTTGTTGCAGAGTGCCTCCAAATGCCCAGATACAAGCAAAGACAAAATAGACTTCATAAACTTCTTTTGGGCTGTCAGAAGGCACATTTTCAGGAGTCAGTAAACATTCCAGAAGAGCACAAATAGTCTAAAGAAAAAGAAATAGCCACTCATTTAGGACATCAATTTTTTAATAGGAGAATAAATTCACAGGACTTATTAATAAATACATTTTATCCTTAAGAGATTATATAATTTTTCTGACTCTAATCTGCTGCCTTGGTTTTATGTCAGTGGTGGAAAACCTTTGCCACTTGAAACCAAACTGATCTTCTAGGTAATAACAAACTATTTTTTAAAACCTCTAGCTTAAATTATCCAATTAATAATCACTGCAATACAGAAAAACATACAAGCAAAAAGAAAAAATAGCAGGGCTATGCCTATGCACTCTTTTATATAAGTAGGGAGTCACAGAGCACATAGCATTCTATAGCTCACCTTCTCACCTAAACACAAACTAAAGTCATCTGTCCTTACCAGGAAGTGCTGCCTACATCATCACTGGGAATGAATGCTTCAGAGCCCCCCCCCATGGCCCCGAGTAGGACAGTTGGGTAACCCACTTACCCTTAGTGCTTTGGCAGCCGTTTTTTCCCACCTGTTGTATAAATTTAGAAAGTTGGACTGGCAGCCTTAGCTGGTGGCATTTTTTTGGACACCAGACTAAATTTAACCTTGTAAGAAATGCTGTTCAGGAACTTGTTCTGAACACACACTAGGTGAAAGAGGAATGTGCTCTTTTGGTCTGAAAGATACCCCGAGGTCAGGGAGAACGTGTCAGAAATAAGGGGAACGTGGCTGCTGCCAAAGCCTTTCCCATATGAAATAAGAACCAGGAGTGAACATACATTTGAGCCACTTCTCTTACAGCACAAAACAGTTGTCATTAATTAGCATTGTCACAAACCTTCAAAATTCTAGTTTTTGGAGGCAGCAACAGGTTTTTAGCACGATCCCACACGCAGCAGTGCAGGCCGTGACAAAGCAAGTCAGAACTGTGCGTGAGCCTCTCCTTCCCAACTAGGGAAGACATGAATAATGGGTCTTGGCTATCATTTGGAAATGTTTTTAATTTAAGTAGTTGAGCATCTGTTATATGTTTCAATGTTCTGCCTTAATTTCTATTATTTTATGTTGTGCCATGTTTGCCAATTTAAAATAATCTTCTCCTAGAATAAAACTCATCAATTCATCAGGAAAAATAATGTAAAACTCTAAAGCTTTAGTATTCATTACTAGAAGCCATCCATGGTGTACTCTAAGGAAATGTTAAAATCAAAATGAAAAAGACTGACAGGTCTCAGCATGACATTATCCATGGATCTGAACATTCTAATAACTCACGTGATTTTTCCATTTTCTCCCCAACATGGTCCTTGAAAAACATTTTGAGCTGCGTTAGCAATTAATAAAAATCATACTTTGGTGCATATTCTGAAAGAGTTAATACACTTTACCAAACTTACAGCAAATAAGTTTCCTATATTGAAAAACATAGTACATTAATTTATTAAGGTAGCCATTTTAAATTAATATTTTATATTTGTTCTTGTCTCAAATTTTGTCCTAATAAGTAATCTCAGAAAGAGTCTCCACTGTAAAATAACAGCTAAAAAGGAATTAAGGACAAATGCCATTTCGGAATACTACAAAAGAAGGAAGTGGGAGCAAAAGTCATATTCATTCTTACTGACCTGTTTTCACACTATTCTTGAATGAAAAAGTTCACACCACAGAGAATCACACAAATACACAAGTCTACTTGAAAAAGAACACAATCATGCGTTTTGCAAATACTATGCCAGAGGAAGTCTAATTAGGCTAGCCACATAATTAATTCATTATGAATAAATTCAGTCCTGCTTTCAGAAATAAATTATACCTCAGATAATTACTATTGAAGACTATCGTTTAATTAATTGGTATGTGAGTTATCCAAAAACCTGAACTTTCCCTTCTTACTATGCTTATTACTATTTCTAATTTAGCTTCAAACACATTTGGTAACATAGTAACTTAATGGTAACAAAGTACTTCAAAACCAATTTTGCCCTTGTAGAAAAAAAAATAAGGTTTCTACTTGTAAACCTGTGAAGTTCTATACTTGTAAAGGCTGGGGACAGTTTTTCTTCACACTGAGATTAAGATCACAACCCTCATTTCTGTGTGCTGTGAATTATTTTCATTTGCTTCCATGACAACACATTATATATACCCTTCAGTCTTACCAGCTGACTCACAATGAGGATTAGAGAAAATGTATCCCTGGAATATTTTGAACTCTCCATTCACACTGACTTGGCTTTATGAGTATTTTTGGGAGAGGAGAACAGAAAGGAAGCAGGGGTGGGAGCTCCAGGGGTGGTGCCACCTATGCGGTAGAGTTCAGAAGTTTCTCCAGAACTCAATGGCCAACACCTTTAACTACATGGATTTACTGTATTCAAAAAATATACTGAGCAGTTTCTCTGGGCCAGTTTCTTAGGAGACAGAAAAAATAAGGTTGTTCTAATGACAACTTTTGTGACAACAACTTTGTTCTTATTCTATTCAAATATACTTAGGAGGAAGAGAATGACTCAAAAAGCACACACTGAGCACTTACTCTGTCTTAGGGACTATATAAATATCTGGAGATATAGAAAGTGAATAAAAAGTGGCTTTCAGGCTTCTAGTCCATAATTTTTCAGAAGAAAGATACCACAACCTGAGTAATAATAGAAGGCAATAGGTATGTAACCGATGTTTGCCAAAAGCACTTGGGGGACATGGGGGCTGGAGAGGCGGGCTGGAGCCACTTAACAACTTCAGAAAATTTTCCATCTTCTTTATCAAGCAAAACCTTCTGTTGTCTTGATTCAGTCACACCACCGATCAGAACTACAACGTTAGGCAGTGTGACTGAAGACGGACCTGGACCAGGCTATTCTCTGGGATTGCAGTGATAGTTTTAAAGCTCATTCTCAGCTTATCCAAGCATGCAGGAACATATTTATCAAAAAGAATTGTTAAATTGGCCTTTTCTGATTGATGTTGCCTTTTGTCTATCCAACTGGCCACATACCTGAAAAAGAACACAGAAAAGCTTTTATTGAACAGTAGAAAAAACAGCTTGAAAAGTAGAATTTCAACGACTCAAAAGCTTCCCCCTTCAGCACAGCTTGGTATAACACTTCAGGGACCAGTTTAGTAAGTTCATTCTATTTCTCAAACTGCAGATATTTTTAAATGACCCTTTAAAAACTTGTTTTAATGGCCATTTTTACCTTAATGAAAGGAATGTAAAAGAAACTCCTAATAGTCCTTAGAAGCCAAACATAATAGAGCATAAGCAGGCCATTACTGAGCATTTATAAGGAAATGTGGTGGTATGTCATTTCCTAAAGGAGTGAAACTAGTTTCACAGGGTAGGCCTTATTTATGATAACAGCTTGGTATTTTTCTTGATTAATCTTGGCATCAGTTATTTGGTAATGCAAAATCAGTTACAAATAAAAAGGTGAAAATTCCATAGGGGCTATTTCAAAGTCCTTCCATTTCCACTGAACTGAAAAAAAACTCTGATCTGATAGCTGACAATGTTTATCCAGTAAGTGGCTCTAAAATGGTATCCTATGCTTGGGTCATGCATATTAATCTGAAGCCTATGTTACCAATTTTTCATACATTAATACCTCTAACATAGTAATAAGATAGTACTTATCAATAAAATAAAACATGACTTAGCACCCACAGTAGTCTCCAGGAAAAATTTGTACAATGTTAGATGAAAAACGACAGCTCAAAAAGTTTCATCGAATAGGAAGCAGAGCTGCCAGCAGAGAAATAGGAGACCAGACCAATTACAGCTAATACCTTTTTCAAGAAAATCGGATTTCAAATTTTTAATATTAGAAGAAATTAAGGCAAGAAGACTATCTTACAAAAGGTTCTCTTTGATTTTCACAAGGCTTCACAGTAGGGTTTTATTAAATATTCAACTACTTTTACATTATTGTTAGATTTATAAAATATCAACTGTCAAAACCTTTTCAGGTCGAAGAGGAATGGTTTTAGGTTGACATCTAGTTGCATGATAGTAACTTGAGAGCGCATCTCTGGGCGGTGGTGCTTGCGAGCACCACAGAGAAATGGAACAGTGGAAAACAGGTGTTAGTCACCTGGGATGCAGGCATGAAGGCCACATCTACCCCTTAGCTACTCATTTTACTGCACATCAGCTGCCAGAAGTGGAACCATGGTGTCCAGAGCTTATTGTTGGGAAAGAGGTTGCTCAGGGAGATGGAGCTCTGAAGTCAGACTGCCTGGATCTGTACCCCAGCTCTATCATTTTTTAACTCTGTTACCTTGGGCAAGTTACTTAACCTCACTGTGACTCAAGTTTGTCATCTGTCAATGGAGATGATAATATGGACTTCCCAGGGATGTTCTGAGGATTAAACAAGTTTTCATGTATAAAGTGTTTAGATTCCTATCTGACATATAACAAATCCTCGGTAAGCGGCACTCGGTAGTACAGAGTGGGCAGAACTGGGAGGACCGGGTGCAGCTTCTGCAGACAGCAATGTCACATGGGGCACAAGAGTTGGCAGCTGGCACTCTGATGGGCAAAACAAATTCTATTTCCACCCCATGGCCTTGGTCTTGGTGGGAGCAGAAGGCTGTACAGGGATAACTAGGAGCTGTAACCTCAGCCTAGCCCCTGAAGGGGAAAGGGGCATTTGCATTTAGGGAGCAGGTAACAGCTACTTCATTGGAGCCCATGGGCAGTAACCAACATCTCAAAGGGAAAACTTCCCAGGCCCAAGAGTACAAATGATGTGATTGTGTAAATCACCTCCACAAGAAAAGGCATTTCACCAAACCAGGTGACAAGGTTAGAGCTAATCCCACCTGGTGCAGGGAGGTGGGAGGCCCCAAAATGTCGTTGACCTCTGCTAGGGGGTCAACCACACCATACAGCTTAGGGAGTAAAAGACTCTATATTGTTAAATATGGACAATTTAAAATTTCACGTATAAATTACTGCTAAATTTTCATGCTTTGGAATAAAAATAGACATTAAAAGATAGCAAATTTAGGAGAGACTTTTACCTTCAGCAATGGCAAAAATTAAAGATACAAATCTGTATTTGTTAGTAATTCTTTCCACTTTACTTCACAGAAAAGTTCATCATCATTTTGAAAAAGATGCTGATTTGAACATGACCTAGTGAAACATACTCTGCTATCTATCACACCATGTATACCTGAAAATGACATACTGAAATAGCATATTTATTTCTTACCTACATAGATCACCCAAATCGGTGCTCCTGCCTCAGGAAATAGTTACACTGAGAGACTTTAATGCATCTTACTGAATATTAGGTCATTAACAGAATCTTTGGCTCTTCAATATTTGCAAATGTGTTCCATGAAATCAACTCTGCAGCCCTTCCTGCTCCAGAAATGCTGTTGGTGCATCTTAGAATATTCTTGTTAATATTTGCTGAGCTATTAGGATGGGACTGCAGAGAACAAGCTCAACCAGTGCAGGTCAGAGAACCAGAAAGACAAATCCAAAAGAATGTTTTAAGCTAAAGTAATAGAGGAAAAAGTATGATCTCAAGGTGTGGCTCCCAAAAGTTATCTTCCTAGTAATCTCTTTTGGAATCAGACTGAATTCTAGAGATATTCCCACTATTTCCTCTCATTCTTTACAAGTTAATTACACAGTTTAATAGATTTCATTTTCATGTATGCTCACTTTAAATAATTATGAATGAATAATTTAGTACCTGTTTTTCCCTTTTTATGCATTTCATTCCTTTCTACTAGAAAAAAATTCTCACTGATCATAATTTTCAGAAATGTTCTTCTAATTTCTGTTCTTTCTCTATTTCTCAAGATGTCATGAATGTATGTGAACTGTCCAGGATTCTTGTAGTAAACTTACTTAGAGCTCGGAGTTAAAATAAAATAGCATTTGATTTCCACAGTTAATCATGTGCTAATGTGATTTTAAGGATACTGTATGATCCATATCTGTAAAGTGTGGACATTTTTCAAAATAGCTCAGCAAATATTAACAAGAATATTCTAAGCAGCTTATGTGATAATGGCATTATCTTTATTCCTTAAATGTAACCCCAGAGATAATATGAACATAACATTTCATAATCTCTTCTATCTGCAATATCTTATCAGTTTCCACAATATAAAATAATCTCTTCTATCTGCAATATCTTATCAGTTTCCACAATATAAATTAAGAAAACAGATATCCTAGATTCATAGACACAGAGAACATAGTTGGTTGCCATAGGGGAGGGGAGTGGGGGGATGGGTGAGATAGTTGACAGGGAACATGGAATTAGTACATTAGGCAATGGTTCTATGACTGTATACACATGTCAAAATGCATTGAGCAGTACACTTAAGAGTTGCATTTTATTGTATGTACTTCAATAACAATATTATACAAACAAAATTATGTTCTTAAATTCTATATTTGGTTTGAGATGTTGTTTGACTTTTCCTTTACTCCCTGAATTTCCTATAGACTAAAGTTAGATTTAGAGACTTGATTAAATTCAGATCCAGTTTCTTATTTTTTCAAAAAAACATTATTTCAGGGATGGTTCTTAATCTTCCAGCTTGTCTAAAATGCCTTCACATTGCATAATATCAGAATGTGTGCATGATTCACTAAGGATAATGCTAAAATTGATCCGTGGGTTCAGGTGGCAGTAGCTTGGCAACTGTATTATTTTTCATTCTTATTTCACCTAAATTAAAGGTTTATCATCCAATGATGACCATTGACTGAATCGATTTTTGCATTCAGGACTGAAAAAAGCTGACTTTTCTAATTCTACCTTTCTGTTTGAATTTATTATCTAAGAATTTGTACAAAGAAGCTCTCAACCACTAGAACTCTTTGGACACTCTGCAATATGTATATTACACCAAAAAAGAAAGAAATTATATTTCTTAATCTGTTCACTGAAACGGCCTAAAACAATGACATTTCAATAGCAATGAACACCCCGAGCATCCCTATCTTGGATTCTAAACAGCATTCCTTATACAAAAGTAGTTTCTCTGGCTTCTTGGAGAAATGACTGAATTAAACCTAGTAAGGAGAGTCTGAGATAAGCCAAAAGTGTTTTGTTTAGCCAAAAAGCAAAGTACTTGCAGACTCAGGAGGACAGGTGAAAGTGAACCCAAGAGGGGCTGACCCATGGGCTCCTACTGGCAAAATCCGGGATGATTTGGGCACCCAAAGAATAATTGTAAGAGTGAATTATAACCCACTGAACAAAAAGAAAAGCAGCCATGAATAGAAAACGATATTCCTCAAAAAGGAAAAGGAGGGAGGGAAGGAGAAAGAAAGGAAAGAAGGGAAGGAGGGTGGGAAACAGGAAGAGGAACCGATCTTTACAGAGAACTGTTGCTGACTGCATGTAGGTAGAAAGACTGAATTAGGAAATCACTACTTTGCACCCACTAATGGATCATTCTTTAGGACATCTGGCTGTGTTTTTCAAAACAGTAAATGTCATGAAAGAATAAGGATGGGGATATTACAGATTAAAGGGGAAAATGGAGACAAGTAAATGCAATGCAGGACCCTTGTTTTGACACTGGATTTTTTTAAAAAGATACAGAGGAAATTATTGGGGTACTTGGGAAAATTTTAAAAATTACTGTTTATAGATATTATTGTATCATATCTATATCTATATCTATATCTAAGAAGATAAACTTCTTAGGTATGTTAGCTGTACTGTGTTCATATAGGAGAATATCCTAGTTCTTAGAAGATAGATGGTAAAGTACATAGGGATGAAATGCCTTAATGTCTCCAGCTTACTTTCAGATAATTCAGCAAAAATAAATAAAAGTAAAAAATATGTGTGTCTATATACCTGTGGAAGAAAGAATTTGTGCAGAGAGAAGGTAAATGAAATGCAGTGGTAATAATTGATGCAACGAGTATAAAGTATACTACTATCTTTTCAACTTTTCTATAATTTTCAACACTTTGAAATTAAGAAGTTGAGACCTAGATACTGGTTT